ACTAAGAGCTTTATTCATTGATTTGGTGCCACATTCCTTCAAAAGAAGCTCCGACGACACTGCTCACTCTTTTCCGGCAGCTTTTTTGGCAGCTTTTTCCGGCCAAAATTTCCAGATCATCTCGCCTTGTTCCTGCAACACTACGGTGTTTTTCTCATATTTTTATGACAACTATGGTAGAACATAGAATTTCTAGCAGTGTACCAGCCGGGAAGTCTGCCTAGGTCACCAAAAATCAGACTCATGCTCTTGCATTAAAGTCAGACTCAGTTTGGGTCTTGGATTCTGGAGCAACTGATCACATATCTGGTAACCTTTCTTTTTTCTCCCATATTGATTTCTCAGACTCTCTTCCTGCTGTCACTTTTGGCGATGGGTCAAAAGGAAAGGCTATAGGAATTGGAAAAGTTACTCTTTATCCAATGTTCTTTACATTCCCAGGTGTCCCTTCAATTTGATTTCAATTAATCAACTTACTCAGTTTCTTAAATGCCTTGTTACCTTTTCTTCTGATTATGTGATCATTCAAGATCGTCAAACAAAGGAAACAATTGGTAAAGGATGTGAATCACGAGGTCTCTATCACCTTTTTTGTTCTACCAATACCAAAATAGCTTGCACTGCTACTACCTCACCTCTCCTTAACCATTGTCGCTTAGGACACCCAGATCTGAATAAATTAAAACAACTTTTTCCTGGTTTGTCAAATTTAAAAACCATAGAGTGTGAATCATGTCAACTTGGGAAACACTCCAGAGCCTCATATCCTAGTAGAGTGAATAGAAGGGCCAATACCCCATTTTCTTTAGTTCACTCCGATGTTTGGAGACCATGTCGAGTTTCATCCACTTTGGGTTTCTTGTATTTTGTTGTCTTCATTGATGATTTTTCTCGGTGCACTTGAGTCTTTTTAATGAAAAACCGTTTTGAGTTATTCAATGTGTTTCAAAAATTCTACAATGAAATTGTGAATCAATTTGGGGTTTCTCTCAAAATCTTACGGAGTGATAATGCAAAAGAGTATTTTTCTGACCCTTTCACATCTTTCTTTTCCTCACATGGAATACTTCATGAATCTTCATGTGCTAGAACTCTTTAGCAAAATGGAGTCGCTGAACGAAAAATTCGTCATCTTATTGAAACAGCTCGTACCTTGCTTATTCATAATAAGGTTCCTAAGAATTTATGGGGGCATGCTATACTTCACTCATGTTATCTCATAAATCGAATGCCTTCTTCTGTTTTACAAAGAAAAATTTCTCTTCATATCTTGCGCCCACAGGAACCTCCCCATAAGCTCCCGTTGCGAATTTTTGGGTGTACTTGCTTTGTTCTTGATACTTCTCCAGGACGTGATAAACTTGACGCCAAGGCAATAAAGTGTGTTTTTCTTGGATATTCTCGCCTCCAAAAAGGCTTTAAGTGTTACTATCCTAAAACACACCGTTTTTATACCTCCTTTGATGTTACATTTTTTGAAACAACACCCTTTTTCTCTTCCAACTCCGTTGAGTCTGATTTCTTAGGGGAACCCATTGAAATCACAGAAGTTCTGCCTGTTCCTACTTTCTCAGAACCTGTATCTCCCAATGTTCCTGAAAGGACCATACCTATTCCTGAAAGAATTATACCAACTCTAAACATCCAAGAGGAAGGGCATGTTCCACCATTGTTGTACACCTAACAACGACGCAATCATCAAGATTCCCAAGAGGGTAGACACCCAATTGAGTCATGTCCTACATCACTGTTACCCAATGATACAGTCCAAAACACCACAACACACTCTCCCATTGCTAGTCGAGTAGGTAAAAGATCCACTCGAAATCCTTACCCTATCTATAATTTCCTTTCACAGAAACGTCTATCTCCATCATATTGTGCCTTCATTTCTAGTTTGTCAACTGTTTTTTGTTCCAAACAATGTCAAGGAGGCATTAACTCATCCAGGGTGGACTCAAGCAATAGTTGATGAAATGGAAGCACTCCATTCTTCTGGGACTTGGGAGTTAGTTCCTTTACCTCTTGGTAAAACTGTGGTTGGTTGTAGATGGGTGTATAATGTAAAGGTTGGGCCAGATGGATAGGTTGATAGATTTAAAGCTCGACTTGTTGCTAAAGGATACACGCAGGTTTTTGGCATTGACTACACGGCCACCTTCTCACCGGTAGCCAAGATCACTTCTATCCGCCTCTTACTCTCAATGGCAGCTAATCGCCACTGGCCACTGTATCAGTTGGATATAAAGAATGCATTCTTACATGGTGATTTGAATGAGGAAGTATATATGGAGCAGCCCCCTGGATTTGTGGCTAAGACAGGAGCTAGTCTTGTTTGTCGTCTTAAACGCTCTCTCTATGGGTTGAAGCAATCTCCACGTGCCTGGTTTGGGAGATTTAGAGATGTGGTTCAACAATTTGGCATGATTAAAAGCAAGGCTGACCACTCTGTCTTCTATAAACATCTACTTGAAAAAAAACATATATCTTGTGGTTTATGTTGATGATATCGTCATTACAGGCAATGATAGTGAAGGAATAAATCAGCTTAAGAAACATTTGTTTCAGCATTTCGAGACAAAAGATCTTGGAAAATTGAAGTATTTTCTTGGTATTGAAGTTGCTTAATCCAAAGAAGGTATCTATGTGTCTCAACGAAAATATGTTTTGGATATTCTTGAAGAAACAGGAATGACAAATTGCAAACCAGTTGACACACCCATGGATCCAAATGTCAAACTTCTTCGAAGACAGGAGGAGCTCCTATCCAGTCCAAGTAAGTATCGGAGGTTAGTTGGCAAGCTACTGTACTTGACTATCACTCGACCAGATATCTCATTTGCTGTAAGTGTAGTTAGCCAATTTTTGCAAGAACCATGTCAAAGTCATTGGGATGCAGCCATCAGAATATTGAGATATCTGAAAAGATCCCCAGGTACAGGATTACTTTATAAAGATCATGGAAATACAGAAATTGTCAGTTACACAGATGCAGATTGGGCTGGATGTCCTTGGGATAGGAGATCGACATCAGGATATTGTGTCCTATTCGGAGGGAATTTGGTTTCTTGGAAAAGCAAGAAACAAGATGTGGTTGCACGATCAAGCGTAGAGGCAGAATATCGAGCAATGGCACTAGGGATTTGTGAACTAATTTGGGTTAAGCAACTTCTCACAGAACTCTATTTCTGCAAGCTTGGGCCTATGAAACTAGTTGTGACAATCAGGCAGCTCTACATATTGCCTCCAACCCTGTCTACCATGAAAGGACCAAACATATCGAGGTTGACTGCCACTTTATACGCGAGAAGGTTGCATCCGGAGTCATTGTTACCACATTTGTTGGGTCAAACGATCAACTCGCTGATGTTCTCACCAAAGCTCTTCGTGGACCTAGAATTGAATATATTTGTGGCAAGCTGGGAGCTTTTGATTTATACGCTCCAACTTGAGGGGGAATGTTGGAATATGAGCAGTGTTAGAATATGAGCAGCCTACTCTTATTATTATGCTTTTATTATGCTTTTAAGTCTTTGGGGAGTGGAATAGTTTTAGACCTTTTATGTCCCTTCCCAATACTTGTTATCTTCCCATATAATGTCTTGTAATGTGTTGTTCTTTCTAAGATGGAATAACAAGAAGATAGTTCAGGTTCCTTTTAGTTTACCTTTCAACAATAAAGAAACTACTCCCCTCCCCAAGGCTTTAATTACTAAGGCTAGTGAACTGCCCATTTAATTACTAAGGCTAATGAGTTGCCCAAGACTTTTAATATTCCAACACTCTTGTACCATTTATTTTCTCCATCTTCAGTTGTGTCTCATATGGAGGCCTAATTTGCTCTAAATGTCTAGGTCTAAATATCAGTTGTGCCTCGTGATCAGATTGGCCGATATATCCTATTAACAGTTTCACATTGAGAAAATAAGAAAGAACATAGGGTTTATAAAGTCATAAGCTAGATTAATTAATTGATTAGATTTAGGGTGTTTTTGGTTCATGGGTTTAGCCAGCACTACTATGGGATTAGTGCCTCCCTTACCAAGTATGTTTGGCTTACGCTAACTCTTTCCAATATAGAAATTTAATATACAGCTTTTGGTTCTTACTGTCAATGGGCTGATTACTTTATGTACTCAACACAGGTTGCAGTAAGCCTAATGATGAATATATCAAAATCTCAGAGTTCTTGAACTGTAGTTGTATATCAGACTTTAAATACACCAATATCTAAGTGGATTTTCTAAGAATGCAGCTTTGTATCTATCTTGAAACCTTTTCAAATGGTAAAAAGGAAGACTAAATATTGGCGATCATTACGAATTTTAGCACTGAAAGGGCAAAAATACAGACAGAGCTAAGGACAATGAAGCAGAACCAAGTATCTTTAGTTTCCATCACTAAAGCCAGTTATGTTAAAACAAAATTGAATATATTATATGTCAATTCTTGTATTTCTGTACATTTCACATGATGTATTGAGCTACAGCTGATATCCTCATTTACATTATATCAACAAACTAACAATTCCTGATTTCTGTGCAGCTATCGAAATGACCCTTGTTAACTGTTATGCAGCTATCTGCATCCTCATTTAGTGTTGGAAATGAAATCCTCTTTCATTTCTGCCATCTTTTGGCCAGCTTGATGAGCTTCTTGGAGCTGATCATGGTAGTTACTTAGCAAATAGAGAGATTGAAGGGGAGAAGAAGATATGTAGAAACCTTAGATCTTTGCTGGACTGTGAATATCAGTGGTTGATGATCACAATGCATATGGAAGTGAAACTTGTGAAAAGCACTCGCGCAAAAGCCAGGCGAGCGACGAGCTCCATGGCAAAGCGCTCGCCTGAGCTCGCTTTCCGGCGAGGCGACGAAGCAACGAAGCGACGAAAAGCGTCGCTTTCTCTTACGGAGCGCAAGGCAACGTCAGCCAAAAAAAAAAAAAAAAAAAGCAAAACAAAACCAAAAAATACAAAACAAAACGACATCAGATCTAACCTCAGTTGCGACTTGCAAAACCCTTCTGCTTCCAAAATCCAGACCAAAGCCTCCGTCCCTCGCTGCGACACTGCCTCGAACGTCGCCGCGACGCCGCCTCCACCTCGCCGCGACACCGCCTCCTCCTCGTCGCGACGCCGCGCTCACAGTCCCGAGGTAAATAGCTGAGTTCGCTGCTTCTAACCTTCCGGCTCTTTTGTTTTTTCCTCTTCTCTTCTTATGTTGATGCCAGTGACTGAGGTAGTTGTGAAATAAGAATAGAGTTGAGGACTCGTTGAATCTTTATTGACTTGAGAGTTTGGCACTTGGCAGTTACAAGCACTGGACATGTTTTTTTTTTTTTTTTTTGTTTTTTTTTTTCCTCTATTTTTTTTTTTTTTTGGTATTAAATTAAGTTTTGAAATTTTTATGATTAAAATCTTAAATTACAATTTACATTTAATTAAATTAAGTTTTATTATTGAATTGTTGATGTTGATTGTTAAATTGAATAATTTGTATTTTTAGGTCAATATTACGGCATTATCATAATGTCTAATCCAAAACATCAAGATCTCGGATGGGATCATGGTATTCCGGTTTTGGATAAGGGCATTACGCATGTGCGATGTAAGTATTGTCATAAAATTACGAAGGGAGGTATTTATCGGCATAAATTGCATCTCATTGGAGGAAATAGAAATGTTACGAGGTGCACAAAATGTCCCCAAATTGTTAGAGATGCAATGAAAGAATTTATGCAAAGTAAGAAGAAAATAAAGGATGAATGGAGTTCAACGGGTGTTCCTTCTATGTTTTATGAAGATTGTGATGAAAGTATAGATTTTTCAAAGGCGGCAGAGATGGGATGTAGTATGGAATCTTCTAACAAAACAATTAAAGGTCCCATGGATTTGTATTTTAATACAAGAGAACACCAAAATTTGAAAAGATCAAAAGGCGGCGAAAATGTAACTCTGGAGACATGCAAGCAAGAGTTGAGGGATAGAGCTCTTGTGCAATTTTCACGGTGGATGTATGAGGCTGGACTACCATTTAATTGTGTTTCTTATAATAAAAGTTTGCAAGGATTTATTGATTGTGTTGCACAACATGGCCCGGGAATGAAGGCACCTTCATATCATGAAGTTAGAGTATCATATCTTAAAAGGGAGGTAGAGCATATTAAGGAGTTGTTCGAAGGGCATGAGGAGATGCGCAATAAGTATGGTTGTTCTCTAATGATGGACAAGTGGACAGATAGAAGAGGTCATACATTTATTAATGTCTTAGTTAATTGTTCACTTGGATCATATTTTCTCGAGTCAGTTTGTATTAGTAAGGACATGGTGGATGGAAATAAAATGTTAGAGCTTTTTGAAGCTTTTGTGAATCAAGTGGGGAAGGAAAATGTTGTACAAGTCATATCTGACAATGCTTCTGAAAATGTGAGAGCTGGTATGTCTAAAATATATATGTTTTTCATTTTTTTTTTAAATTATAATTTTTTAACTATTAATTCTTTTCATTTTCATTTTCATTTAGGCAAGGATTTAATGGAATTGTACCCGACTTTGTATTGGATGCCATGTGCTGCTCATTGCATCAATTTGATATTCGAAGATATTTTTGAGATTCGTCATTTTGCATTGGCGTACAAGCGGGCATTGAAGTTGTCGGTGTACATCCATTCAAAGACAAAACTTTTGAATTTGTTGAGGACATATACCAGAAAGCGGGATTTGGTTAAGTTTGCTAAAACTCGATTTGCTACAGTATTCTTGACATTCAAGAGGCTTCACGAGCAGAAGAACAATTTGAGAAGATTGTTCAAATCAGAAGAATTCCTCACTAGCTCTTATTTCAATGAAGCAGCAGGGAAGGAGTGTTCTAAAATTGTAGAAATGCCAAATTTTTGGAATACAATTCTAGAGGCACTTAAAATAGGTGATCCATTGATTAGCACCCTCCGGTTAGTTGATGGGGAAATTAAGCCATCTATGGGCTATATTTATCCTGCGATGGAGATTACAAAGGAAGCAATTGCAAAAGCTTTCAACAATAATTCAAGCAAGTACAATAAGGTCTTTGAAATCATAGATAAAAGGTGGAGTTCCCAGTTTCGTCAACCATTGCATGCAGCCGCATACTACTTGAATCCAGATTACTTCCGGTATATTGGCGAGACACCGATTTCTCCTACTGTTCGTTCGACAGAGGTTGTTGCTGGTTTTTATGAGTGTTTGGAGAGATTGATTCCAGATCAAGATTTGTATGAGAAAATTACTAAAGAAGTATCTACTTGGGAAGCTGGTCGGGGTTTATTTGGCTTGACAGTTGCAAAGAAACAACGTGGTGTTAAGCGTCCAGGTTCTTAAACAATCTAACTTATGATTTTTATTTCTAATCAAAATATTGCAAACTTTGATTAATTTTTAAATGCTACAGATGATTGGTGGTTTTCTTTTGGGAGCTCAACTCCACATTTGAAAGATTTTGCGATTAAGATCCTCAGCCTCACTACTAGTGCATTAGGATGTGAAAGAAATTGGAGTGTGTTTGAACATGTAAGTCAGTCAAATTATCATTTTAAGTCACTAATTAGCAATTATCACATATACTTAAGTACTAATTAATTTTAAAATTTTCAGTTGCATTTGGAAAGGAGAAACCGCCTTGAGCACATGCGCCTTAATGATTTGGTTTTCATCAAGTATAACAGATCATTAAGACGACGATGGGAAATGCGGAATACCATTGATCCAATTAGTTTGGATCAAATTGATTTTTCTAATGAATGGTTGACAGGTATTCCGGATGATGTTAATGAAGAGTTGGTGTTTAGTGATGGAGATGATTTGACTTGGGGAGATATTGCAAGGTTTTCCGGTGCGAATGAGACTCCTTATTCCCTTAGGCATGCTTTTAAAGGAAAAGAGAAGGTAGGGAGTTCAAGGTCTAAGGAAAAAGAAAAAGTTGTGGAACATAGACTAGTGGATGAAGATGATGTTGATGAAGAAGATGGAGAAGCATTTGAGGATGAAGAGGCAAAACCAAGTGCCACCTTGTTGTATGGGGACTTTTAGCTTCAACCAGAAATATATGAAATATGGAGACAAGCTGAGGAAGAATTCGGATTTGATCATCTCATGTCCCGAGGATATCTTCCTCGACATCATTTCTAGCTCGAGTAGATCTTGAGAGACTGCAAACAGCTTAGATTAGTGGAGAGCAGAAAAGAGTTTTCTTGTATACAACTAAGTTACTTGTTTCCCTTTTTGGCTGTCTCAGGATCAGATTGTGAAAGTTTTTAATCTTGAGATAATATAAATATTACTGACTATATGGAGGCCTAATTTGCTCTAGTTGTCTATGCATGTCTAAATCTGCATTTATCAACCTTTAAGATATATCTGCTATTTCGATCAGTTCAAAGAAGCTGGTGAAAAGATGGCAGAAATTTGCAGCCATCCGAAGAAAAAGGATTTCATTTTCAAGACAAAATGATGACACAGATTATTGGTGCAGTAAACAAGTTAAGGGTCATTTTGTTGTCTACTCAGCTGATCAGAAGCGGTTTAATTTGTTGTCCCTCTATCTTATCTCGAGAATGAGATCATTAGGCAACTCTTAAGCATGTCTGAAGAAGAATTTGGATTTCCAAGCGATGGGCCTCTTACACTGCCATGTGATGCAGTCTTCATTTCACTTCTTAGCCGAGGTCTAAGTAGAGAACTTGAGAATGCCTTGCTCATCTCACTTATTTCACATCGGTGTTCATCATCTCCACTACACCAACAAGGGTGGAGAAGTCAGGAATTGCTAGTTTACTGATATTAATGTCAATAAGTTTTGTAAATTTGGATATCAGCTGTAGCTCAATACATGATGTGAAATGTACAGAAATCCAAGATGATGTTAAACATATTCAATTTTACTTTCACTTAATTGGCTTTTGTCACGATAATTAGTTCTGCTTCACTACACCCTCTCTAGGTAAGCTGAACAATACTCCTTTATATATGAGACACAACTGAAATTTAGACAGACATCTTCAGAAAATTTGGCCTCCATATAACTAGTGATATTTATATTTCCCCATCTGATCATGAGACAGCTAAAGATGTTTGTTTTTAAAGAAGTGGCTGTGTAAATCAAAGATGCTATAGGATCGGAGCAGATTTAGAATGTAGAAACTAAGGTAGGTGTGAAGGAAATATTTGAGTGGCCTGGGGTGAATACATACTAACTCAATTGTGTTTATATATATAGATCCTTTGGGAAGTGGATTGAGTGGCTAAGGGAGGGCATCCAGCTAGCATGATCACATGGTTTTGTCTTTGAGAAATCATATCCAAGACTAAATGATGTCGCGGATAGCTGTAGTTCTTCCTCTGCAGTTAATAAGGGTCATTTTGCTATCTACACATATGACCAGAAGCGGTTTGTTGTTCCTTTATCTTATCTCGAAAATGAAATTATTAGGCAACTCTTAAGCATATCTAAAGAAGAATTTGGACTTCCAGGCGATGTGCCTATTACACTACTTCATGGACTACATTATTTCTCTTCTTAGCCGAGGTTTATCCAAAGAACTCGAAAATGCATTGCTCATCTCAGTTATTTCTCTTCATGGACTACCTCACTTTCTCTGTTTGTTCTTGAAGAAGATCTTCGGAGGCCTTGCTTAGCACCGAAAATGTGACCCATACTAATTGCCATGTTTTTTTTTTTCCAGAACTTTTTGACAATGCTAATAGACACAGCTTGACAGATACCAGGATTTGTGTGAAGGAAGAAGTTGAGTAGGGTGAGCATAAACTCAAATGCATTTATATAGATTCTTTAGGAGGTGGATTGAGTGGCTATGAGAAATCTGGATGAGAGGCCAGCTAGCTAAAACGATTAGACATGGTTTTGTCTTCCAAAAATCATGAAAAATTTTCAACTAAGAAGTTTGTAGATAAAGAGCACCTTTGGGTACCACCCACCATGTGTTTCAATGAAATTGAAGAGATGGGGAAAGCTCAACTACTTGTGTCATTCCAAGAAAACCTACCAAATGAGGGAACGATACACATAGCTGTAAGTTAATGGTATTCACTAAGAAAATATGTTAATCGATTTGTCTGAATCAATGTGAAGATTTCTTATTTTGATGTCTCTATATATCTATCCCACATGCATATTTGTGATTGAAGCTAAAAGGCCCCCTATACAGCTGGGTAGAACATGGTTTTTCCTTCACTGATTTCCTCAAGAACTAAAAGCAGTTTGAATAGGTGATTTCCATGTGAAGTTTGAACATCAAACACTACAACTGTACTGTTTCAAGCCACTATCCATCCAATGTTTCTGCAGATCTTATTCTCTCCCATTCGATTTTTCTCTCTTTCCCAAGTTAGTAACATGATCAGTTCCAAAAAGCTCATCAAGCTGGCAAAAAGATGGAAGAAATTTGGTGTCATCCGAAGAAACACGATTTCACTTCCAACTACCCTGAGTTAACAGAGGGAAGATGCAATCTAAACCAACTGATGATGCTTGTATAGTAGTGAGCACCACGTTTCAGTGGCAGGATGCTCGGCTCGGCTCGGCTCAACTGACTGTCTGCGGATGGTCATTAAACGGCAACACTGCAATCAGCTCCACCTACTGCATACAAGATATCATACCCACTCCTTCCATTTTCTGTCTTATATACTAATCTGCCATCTTTGTGTGATGGTTAATACACACTAATTTTGCATAAAGGTCAGTGAAGTTGGACACCACTATGCACTTAAACTGCAAACATGAATATCTTGGTCATACACATCAATGCTCTTGCAAATAATGTAGCACATCATATATAAGATGGCAGAAACTTGCTGCCATCCGAAGAAAGAGGATTTCATTTTCAAGACAAAATGATGATGCGGATAGCTGCAGTACATCTTCTGCAGTTAACAAGGGTCATTTTTCTGTCTACACAGCTGATCAGAAGCGGTTTGTAGTCCCTCTATCTTATCTCGAGAATGAGATTATTAGGCAACTCTTAAACTTGTCAGAAGAAGAATTTGGGCTTCCATGCAATGGGCCTATTATACTACCATGTGATGCAGCCTTCTTGGACTACATCATTTCGCTTCTTAGCCGCCGAGGATTATCCAAAGAACTCGAGAATGCATTGCTCATATCAGTTACTACTTCATATCGGTGTTCATTAGGTTCATTCCACCAAGAAGGGTTGAGAAATCAAGAATTGCTAACTTGCTGATATTTATGCAAATAATTTTTGTAGACAAGAGACTAGCTGTAGCTCAATACATGATGTGAAATGTACAGAAGTCCAAGACTCGATATCTAATACATTCAGTAACAACTGGAACAGGAAACCAGCTGGCCCAGTTTGCAGTTACATACTGTGGGTTTACATGGCTATCCTACTGGTTATAGACCAAAGTCTAAGCTAAGGGTGCAGGAGCAGCAAACCAAGTTCAAGGACCACTTACGCATACAAATAACAATGTGCACATGGAAAATCTGAGTCACTTACAACACTATATATATGAACATATATGGATTATTCTCCTAATTTAATTTGCACCAACTTTGGTAACCATCTCACAACAAGAGTACAGTAAATTGCTTGGTTCAAAATCTAATCCTAAGAACATTAGGATCTTAGATACTGGTGCAACGTAACACACCACATTGTTTGCAATAAGGACTTATTATCTGATATGATGCTAAAACCATGGGGGGAATACATGTTGAATTACCTTATGGTCTTTCACTAAAAGTGAAGACTAATCAGAGTCGTTCATCAATGGTTGAAGATTTTAGTAAAAAAAAAAACAAAATAATGAATCTATTTTATAATTATTTCAAACTTTCAAGTTTGTAACATTTAACATTTATAAAAACAACTCCACCCTTTATTCCAGCAACTTTCAACTGTTGGTCTACTCAGATGAATAACATATTCTCACATGAACTCTATCCATTCTCCTCATATGCATCTCTCTATTCTCTTTATATATCAATACTCTTCTAAAAGCCTCGTGTTTTCCTTTAATCACACTCAAGATTAAAAGTTTGCTATTACCACATCAGATTCTTATCAAAATATTTTCATTGTCCAAATCGAAGCCAACAGTGGTGAATAGAGATTGAACCCGACGTGAATCGAACACGCAACCTTCTGATCTGGAGTCAGACGCGCTACCATTGCGCCACGGATCCCCTTATTTATAACGCTTTAAAACTATATATAATCATGTTTAGAGGTGTTGGAATGTTTTTCCCAGCAGGAATTTTACGCAGTTATCTAACAAGTAAGAAAGTAACAACCTGCGAAAAAGAAAAAAAAAACATCTAACAAAACTACCAACAAAAATATTTACCGGAATGGATGTGGTCATTGGTTCGAACCCTAAGAGGCTTAGATTCTTTGTGCTGAAAATGTTTGAGAAAGTATAGAACAGATATGTAAAGAATCATGAGTAAAAAAAAACTACATCTGCTGCCGTCCTAATCTTCTTTGTCTCCAATACTTGTTCTATGAGGTTAACATACTTCTCACCAAAAAAAATGAGGTTAACATACTTCTGCTCTTCACCAACACCAAATTTCTTTATCAATTTTTGGATTTAATTTGCATTTTCTAAGATTGAAAACTTGTGTGCAATTTTTTTTTTTCCACTAAAGCTGAACTGTTTGTAGTTTCTCAAGATTTACAAATCCCAATCTGATATGAGACAACTGAAAAAGGAAAAAAAAAAAAAAAAAGTAACTGTACATAGAAACTGTTTTGTGCAAAATTTTTCTCCACTAAACTAAGCTGCTTGTAGAGTCTCAAGATCTACTAGAACTAGAGATGATGTCAAGGAAGGTATCCTCTGGGCAAGGTATTGTGAGGCCACCCATTTGATGATCAAATCCAAATTCTTCTTCAGCTTGACTTAGCAAGTCTTGGAATGAAGGGTCCTTCAAGTATGATATCGGAATAACAAAGCGCTTCTTTTCACTTTCGCCCACATAAACTGCAAAATACCCCTTAGGAACCTCGATTTCTCTGTTTGTTCTTGAAGAAGACCTTCTGAGACCCTGCTTAGTATGGAGAATGCGTATCATACTAATTGCCATTCTGAAATGCTTCTTTTTAAACCAAAGATGCTATAGGAACAATTTTAGAATGCAGAAACTATGGTATTTGTGTAAGAAATGTTTGAGTATGGTGAATACTAACTCAAATGTGTTTATATAGATCCATTGGGAGGTGGATTGAGTGGCTAAGAGAAATTTGGATGGGAGGGCAGCCACCTAACAAGATAACAGACATAACCACATGTTTTTGTCTTTCAAGAATTTTCAAGTAACAAGTTAAAAGAAAGAATATCAGTGTATGAACATCATTCCCCACACGCTTCAATGAAATTGAGTAGATGGGGATAGCTTATATACTTCTGTCTTTCCAAGAAACTCGATCTGTCACATAAGAGATGAGGAGAGCAAGCAGCAAGTCTTGAATCAAATAAAGAGATGATTTGAAAACAAAACCATGTGATTCCTCATTTTTTATGTCTCCATATTTGTGGTTGAAGCTAAAAGGCCCCATACAACTAAGCAGCATAACCACGTGGTTCCTCAGTGTCAAGCATGTGGTTTTGCCTCCAAAACAGCTTAAAGACTGTCTTAGCCTCCTCATCACTTTAAATAGCAAAGATTTAAGCTTCATACAAATCTTATTCTCTATCTTCCGATCCATTCAATCTCTCTGATCTCGATCTATTTTCTAAGTTAATATCATCATGAACAGTTCAAAGAGGCTCATTAAGCTGGCCAGAAGATGGCAGAAATTTGCTGCCATCCGAAGAAAGAGAATTTCATTTCCAAGTCTATATGATGATTCAGATAGCTGCAGTACAGTTTACAAGGGTCATTTCACTATCTACACTGCTGATCAGAAGCGGTTTGTTGTCCCTCTATCATATCTCGAGAATCATATCATTAGGCAACTCTTAAGTATGTCTGAAGAAGAATTTGGACTTCCAAGCGATGGGCCAATTACACTACCATGTGATGCAGTCTTCATGGACTACATCATTTCACTTCTTAGCCGAGGTTTATCTAGAGAACTTGAGAATGCACTGCTCGTTTCAGTTACTTCTCATCGCTGTTCATCAGCTCCGTTACTCCGAAATCAGGAATTGCTAGTTTGCTCATATTAATCTCAATAAATTTTGTAAATGAGGATATATATTAGTTACGTTGTAGCTCAATACATGATGTCAAATGTACATATATATTAAATCCAATACAGCACCTATATATATATATATATACACGCACTGTACATTATATCTTAGAATGCTTGAGTTCCCCACTCCCATATTCAAATTTTCTTTTTACATAGGACTTTAATGATGAAAACATAATGATACTTGCTTCTGTTTCATGGTTTCTGTCTAGAATAACTGATAAGTAGTCTGAAGAATTAAAATGATTAATATTTTCTCCTTAAAGATCTAATATATTGCAAGTAAGTACAGATGAATATTAATGAAAAGATAAGTTCTTGTGTATAAACTCCAAATAACTTCCATTTCTGTCCTAGCATCACTGCGCCAACTACCAGGAATAAGGAGAAGGCAGATGTAATTTGAAGCATATGATGAGAAAACAATATGGTTTTGTTATCTCATTTTCTTTCATTTCTTATGTCGTATATATATACTAATCTGACACTTTTGTGTGATGGTTAACATGTAACTTTCACCCTGACCACACTATTTGTGTAAACCTGCAAATTAGTTAGTTCCAAGAAACTCATCAATTTGCCAATGAAATATAATGGAAGATACATGTTGCTGTCTAAAGGAAGAAGAATTCATTTTGAAGACACAATTTAGACTGTGTGAATAGTTGTGGTAAATCCTCTGCACTAAATTTTACTGGTAGCTTCATTTTATTTTTCAATATAGACTGTTCTCAAGATTATTCCTTTATTCTGAACTTGTAAAAGTTTATTGCTTAACTTTTAGTGTAGAATATGCCTTGGAGAGATATTGCACTGCTAGTTTTACTCAAAGTATATTCAAAGCAACAATTTGGAATAGGATTTGGTGAAAATTGGACAGCATTTCTGATATTTTCAAAGTTGCTGCCAAAATGCAGACAAAAATCTATACAGGAAAAGTCTTCTATGCAAAATTTTTCTTCACTAAACTAAGTTGTCTGTAGTCTCTCAAGATCTCAAACTAGAGATGACTTCAAGAAAGGTATCCTCCATACAAGGTATTGTGAGTCCACCCGTTGGATGATCAAATCCGAATTCTTCCTCAGCTTGACTAAGCAAGTCTTGGAATGAAGGGTCCTTCAAGTACGAAACTGGAATGACAAAACGCCTCTTTTCACTCTCCCCAACATAAACTGCAAAATGCCCCTTAGGCACTTCACTTTCTCTGTTTGTTCTTGAAGAAGATCTCCTGAGGCATTGCTTAGCGCGGAAAATATGCCCCATACCAATTGCCATGTTCAAATGTGTTTTTTGGGAAGTAGGATTTCTGAAATATTTTTCAGTATAGACACAATTTGTGAAGGCAGAAACTAGGAGTTGTGTGAAGGAAGAACTTGAGTGGGGTGAGAATCAACACAAATGCATTTATATATATAGATCCTTTAGGAGGTGGATTGAGTGGCTATGAGAAATTTGGATCAGAGGCCAGCCAGCTAGAATGATTAGACAACATCTCCACATGGCCGGTTTTGTCTTCCAAAAATCATAAAGAATTTCTACTACCTTTGGACATCACTCACCATATGCTTCAATAAATTTGAACAGATGGGGAAAGCTCAACTACCTTTGTCATTCCGAGAAAGAGATCAATATACACAGCACTAAGTTAATGGTATTTGCCTAAAAAACATCAATTGATGTGAAGATTGGGACACATAACCATGTGTTTCCCTATTTGTATGTCTTAAAGGCCCCCCATACAGCTGGGTGGAACATGATTTTGCCTTACCTGATTTCCTCAAGAAATTGAACCGCTTTAAATAGGTTGCTTCTCATCCAATTCTGATCATCAAACACTACAACTTTCTGCAGATCTTGTTCTCTTCCCTTCAATTTCTCTCTATTTCCTAAGTTAGCACCATGATCAGTTCCAAGAAACTCATCAAGTTGGCAAAAAGATGGCAGAAATTTGCTGCCATTCGAAGAAAGAGGATTTCATTTCCAAGTCTATATGATGATGCGGATAGCTGCAGTACTTCCACTCCAGTTAACAGGGGTCACTTTGCTATCTACACTGTTGATCAGAAGCGCTTTGTTGTCCCTCTATCTTATCTCGAGAATGCAATTATTAGGCAACTCTTAAACATGTCAGAAGAAGAATTTGGACTTCCAAGCGATGGGCCTATTACACTACCATGTGATGCAGTCTTCATGGACTACATCATTTCACTTCTTAGTCGAGGCTTATCCAGAGAACTCGAGAATGCATTGCTCGTCTCAATTACTTCACATCGGTGTTCATCAGCTCCACTACACCAAGAAGGGTGGAGAAATCAGGAATTGCTAGTTTGCTGATATTAATTTCAATAAATTTTGTAAATGAGGATATTAGTTTTAGTTCAATACATCATGTTAAATGTACAAAAAATCCAATACAGCAATACTTAATGATATCCAATATGTTCAATATTCTTCTTAGAAAATTCAAATATATAATATTCTTCTTAATCTTCAGTTTGCTGCAATACACGTAGTTGGCATATTTTCTGTAACAAGCAAGTGCTTATTTGCATGAATTTTATTCAATTCTTAACAAAAAGCATTAAACTATATAATTTGAACCATATTAGCATAGTAGCATTGCTATGGCAGATGTATTATGGGATAGCAAGTCAGAGTAGGGCTTACCATCTGCCGCAATAGTGCCATTTTAGTCTGACCTTGAGGATGAATTGTGTTTGAACCAATCAGACGGGAGCCTGAAGCAACCAGAGTTGAACAGATCAGATGGGTTAACTAGCCTTCCAAATGAGAGATGAAGATATATATGGTCACATTCACCTGCACAATATGTCAGCCTTTTTTGTTTGAATCAATCCTATGAATGAGAAACATACACAAGTGATTCCTCATTCTTATGTCTCCATATATTTCTGATTGAAACTAAGCGGACCCATACAACTCCAGTGCACATGGTTTTGCCTTCAATAATTTTCTCAGTAACTTATAGCTTGTCTTAGCCTCGTTTGCGCTTTAAATACGTCACTTCCATATGTATTTTGATCATCAAGCACCAAAAGTCAGTCCAACCAAGACCTTATGTTTTTATCTTCTGTTCAATAGTCAGGAAAGAATTCCTGTTCACGAAAATAACGTCTATACCTGCCTTTGGGATGTGTAAAGCATGTAGTTATATTCTCTTCATTTGTCTTGACAGGAATCTTCTGAGAGAGTAAAAGAGACATATTCCCTTGCCATAAACCCGTAGAAGCATGGAAACAAACCTTCTCCGAAACCACTAATGATGACTGAATACCAAATGTTGGACACAGCTCTGTATTCCAAAATCTTGATAAATCCATTCTCCTTAGAACATTAGTAAGAAATGACCAAAGAAACTCAATGATATGCTTCAAAGTAACATCTTCATCATCCCCCGAAAACTTGATTATTTTATGAATACACATTCGCATTCTTTTGTCCTTCATAATGGAATGGAAGAGCATTATTCTGTTTGTATAAAAAGACAAACGTTATTGTATTTCCTTGAACCTTTTTGTTTCATACCTTCTCAACCGAACCCAGAAATCATTCATAGTCATTCCAAGCAATTATAACCGTAACTGAAATGGATTAGCAGAACTCCCAGTTGATCTAGCACAAGTTATGTGCATCAGATCAGAGAATGGTCAGAAATAGTACTTTCTAGCCAAATGGCATAAGAACCATACCCGCTATTCAACCTGATCATAGAATTACCATAGAAACGAATATGAAATAATCCACAAGCATCGACACACTGTACTGCAGGATAGCCAACCTCTTCTGTATAGTAATCCACAAAACGTAGATCTATCTTACAGCCCCATAGATCCTATATCTATCTATGTTAAGAAGAGATCATGTAACAAATGGGATTCTTTTTTGTACTGCAAGTGAGAAATATCTTTAAAAGGTTCAAGAATACCAACCTATAATTAGAGGCCAGGGCGATACTTCTTAATGAAATATTTGTCACTGAGGGATACTTTAGTAGAAATCTCTCTAGCATTCCAAATTATGGCCACTAATCATTTAAGAGGGGTAGCAAGCTAAGGGGGGGATGGAGTACTTCCCTGATGGCTTTCCAGACTTGTTTGAATGTGATCTTTACTGTGTTTGGAAAACAACGACGTGCTGCCCTGGAGGATAAGATTCAACCCATTTTGCTACTGAAGCTGAAGACATCTTGTTTGAAGTGGACACAGCAGGCCGGAGTTTTCATCTTGTTCATCGTCCTGGTTGGCAAACTGTTGAATGGATAACAAATATATGTGTGAAGGAAGTATTTTAGATGGTGAATTCACAATCAAGTGTGTATATATACATCCCTTAGGGGTTGATTTAGTGTCTAATACAAAATTTGATGGGAGGCCAACCTGCTAGCTTGTTAAGACACATTACCACATGGTTTTGTCTTCCAACAACCATTATGAGTTTCTACTATCAACATTGTAGATAAAGACCTTGTTTGAACATCATTCCCCACATGCTTCAATGAAATTGAATAGATAGGATGGCCTAACTACTGCTATTCCAAGAAAGCCTACCAAATGTTAGATAAGGATAAAGTGCAATAAATTGATGCCGTTCGCCTATGGGTTATCTTCATCTTCTTGTTTGAATCAGTTCTTTGATTGAGAAACATAAACATATTGAAAATTTGTAAAGCGCAGCACCGAAACTGAAGTTGTAACACAAACAATTTGTAACGCAGTTCGGGCAAACAACCCTAATCTGTGATGCACTTCTCAATTTGAGAACTTGCCTAAATCCACTAAAAGCTCAATATTTAAAGTACACTGTTTGGAACCTGAGATTACACAATAGAATGATCTTTCCTACCAAACTATTGAAACCTAAACACATGTACTACATTCTAGGGAATTTAGTATCCTATTCTCAAAGACTCTCGTACCTCACAAGATTAATGTTGAATGCTTGAGATCTACA